ATGAAAGCTTCTATAGATGGTATAACCTGTTTGTCGCTCGATGTTTTTGAAATGAGATTTTGTTGTTTCAGTGATTTCTTTGTTTTTACTGTTTTTTCCTACTGTAGTAACAAMAAACTTATAAACATAGCTCAATTTTAATACTTCATGGTTTATTTACAGCTGATACAGCACATCTGTGTTCATATTCCAAACTCTTACAATGGTGCAATGGACCTTCCCCTCCATGTCACAATTGGTATTTTTGATAGTCTTTTTTCTATTATCTGATGATTTTATGTCAGTTGATGCCGACAATGCGTCTCTCCACAAAGAACTAACAATCTCATGGCTTCCTAATTCCATTCAACATGTATATACGGTCTTRTTCTTGAGCAAATGCTTGTCGCTTCCTTTATATTTGAACCAATTGTTTATATAACATCAAAATCAATATGCTAAAGCGCGCCTACAGAAACGCTTYGGATGAAGTTTATGAGCCGCCATTCCTGGCCGCAATTCTTTGCACAAGGCTGAAATCATTTTTGAAACTGGTTCACTACTAASTTATATAGAAGTCCACAAGCTTATAGGCTAATAATTACGGCGCGTTCTTGCACATAGAAAATAATTAGAGTAAATTTACAATAGCGCGGTGATAGACGCTTTTATTATTCTGGAAGCATGTGCTATGGTTATTTTAGGGCGACTCAAGGGAATTGTTTCTTGTTTTGCTACACTTAGTCAAAACGATCTTCCAAGAGTTAATATGCGCAACCGTTGCCTATCAATGCAACATCATATGAGGTTGTATTAGAAATCAATCAAAGTGAAACTGAAATTTGACGCAAATGCCATTGAAACAGCACGAACAACGAACACTCCTTGGAGCCCAATAGTCTGCAGATCGTATTGATGACAAATTACTAAGTAGAAAGCAAAGAGTTGCGTAAAATACCATGAAAAAATTATAAATCATAGATTACGATGTCAAAATTGCGACATTTTCGTCCACTTAATAAACAGCAAGCACTTTAAGCCCTACAGGCCGATATTTACATACTGACAAAGATTGCGGACGAAATTAGAGCTAGCGGGTTCTTTTTAACATGTAACACTAGAACATTTTAGTATTTTTTCATGTGAAGAGCAAGGTGTCTAGCTGCAATTTCACTGAGGTACTTTTAACGTTTTTTTAAATATGATTTTAATAATTGTGGGTGAGCTGTATGTGATTTAGTTGGTCGCAGAAATACTGKCATGACCAATTGCCGCAAGGCCAGTCCTAATGGAAATGCTTATGATAAAACATCATCCTTTACACTAACTTCTCTTACTTGGCCGAGCGAGAGAGCCTTATATAATCAAATAATGGGTGTGTCATCAGGGTGTTTAGCTCGATCGTGAGGTAAAGTCAGTTATAAAAAGGTCGYGTTTTGATGTCAATATTGTTGTACCGCTAGTATATCATGCCAARTGCTACTGAACAATTTGATTTAAATTTTAATTCCCTTACGTGTATATTATTCTACTAAAATAACTGACATACCRTCTCCCACTTGTCATAATGTGACTTGTCTTAGTCCTGAGCGGCTCTTTGGAAACTGCATTAAAACCTTTCTTCCATAACGTCGAATTAGTGTCACAATACAACATTTGCTGTATGGCTAATAACAAAGAAGGGGCGCRCTCTATGCGTATCTAGTGATCAAAATATCACACTCATTTGCCGCATTGGTAAACATTCACTTTGCTTTATACAAATCGCTTGTGATCGAAATTGAACTTGTTGAGCACTATTTCTGTAGTGTATTTAATGTTATGATGTTTTATGTGGTCAGTTTTCCTATCTGAAATACACCTGTTCAGAACGATGCCTAATTGATCTTTGTTTTACCAGGTTTTTGATGTTTAATGGCTAATTACTTAACTATGCCTTAACKCTCGAGAAAACAGTTTTAGCACTTTTTAACATTATTGGTTTTCAAAAGCGACAATGATAAAGCTTTCATCCAATCAAATGACTACTTTACAAAACCATTTTACATCTCATAAAGGAGCTATTTCTACAATTGTTGATCTTGATTCTTGATCTCATTTACAGCAACAATGACAACATGGCTACCAACGCGGCAAACACACCGGTRTAAGCATTAGTAGTTACAGGATAGCATTAGTGCTGTAGTAACAGMATGTAGTACTTGAAGTTAGAACCACAGGGTGCCAAATCATTTAATTGCAAATCGTTGCAAAAACAGGATTTAGAGCCAGATTCGTGTAGACTTAACT